CGCAGCAACACTGAAGGTGAAGATTGATGAATGGTTTGAAAAACCGACAATCTTCAATCTTCAACTTGTCGGTTTTTCAAACCATTCAACACTGAAGGTACTGAGGTCTGACCTTTATGCCAGGACCTTCTTGTATTTGCAACAAACTTTCAGTACAAGGTCTTGTCTTTCTACAAATCAGTCCTGAGCTTCCTTAAGCACAGTATCATCCTCGAGGTCTGTGTGTAAGCCTGTTCCATGATTTCCAGTAAGTCAATGTGACTTCTGATTCAATGTAATCAGCAGGATTTTCTTTTATCAACATTTCACAGTCATTAATTGATCTGATGACCTGACCTTGCTTCCTAGAGAGTGCACCTTCACAATTCTCCAAAGGAGCCATGACTTAAATATCGTTAGTCTGTTGTACTGTAAGCTGTCTTTACCTCAGTTATGGTATTTGTGCATGGAGAATAGCAACAGCAGAGAGCTTAAAACCAGCAGTAACTGTTAATTGAATGATCACTCATTATCACACACACACACACCAGGCCAGGCCAGACCAGGCCAGGAGCTATGAATCGACCCCTGCAGCCACAATTAAGCGAGAACACACACGCACACACACACACACAGGAGCTGAGTCTCGAACCCTTGCAACCATAATTACGCGAGAACACACACACGCACACACACAGGAGCTGGGTCTCGACCCCTGCAACCACAAATAGGTGAGTACCAATAGGTGAGTACGCACACACACACACACACACACAACACACACACACACACACACACACACAACACACACACACAGGAGCTGTGACTCGACCCCTGCAACCACAAATAGGTGAGTACACACACACACACACACACGCACGCACGCACGCACGCACGTACGCACGCACGCACGCACGCACGCACGCACGCACGCACGCACGCACGCACGCACGCACGCACGCACGCACGCACGCACGCACGCACGCAACATAACCTCATGCATACTTAGGGAAGAAGCAGAGCCACTGTGTAGTCCCCTTAGCAAAGATCTTTAACAAGTCGTTAGAGAACAGAAACTGAAACTTACAACGACGTTTCGGGCTGACTTGAACCATTAACAACTCACACTTAGGCAAGACGGGCAGGAGGCAGGAATATACAGGAAAGGGGGAAGGTGAAAAGGAATGGTAAAATGGGGGAAGGAGTAACAGTGGTAGTTGTAGTATCATTGATAGCAATAGTAGTGGTTGTAGAATCAGTGGTTATAGTAGTAGTAGTAGTAGTAGTGTGGTGGTGGTGGTGGTGGTGGGGGTGGTGGTGGTGGTGGTGGTGTGGTGGTGGTGGTGGTGGTGGTGGTAGTAAATTGTGGTGGTAGAGGTAGTAGTGCTAGAGTGATATAGGTAGAAATAAGAAGGTGGTAGCAATAATAGAAGTGGAGAACCGGGAGAAAAATACTAGCCAAGAGTGTAGTATTAATTATGAAACAACAACAGCTAAAGCAGTCGTAGTAACAGTGAAGTAGTCAAAAAGGAAAAAAAAACAGAGGAGCCCTTCAGGAGAACTAATGATCCACGAGGACAGGAAAAAAATCCCTTGCCATACAAAATCACCCATAGTACAGAACCCACCTAGGCAGAAGACAGGAAAGGCAATGAAAATATAGGAAAGGTGAAGTGGCAAGGAGAGGAGGAGACAAAGATCAGGTCACGTCACGAGTTTTCCGAAGTTCTGAGTATTTGACAACGTAATGAAAGAGGAAGGCATCTATAGGGACAAAGCCAAAACTAAGATTCATAGGAGTGTTGTGACGGCGTCTGTGATGGCTAGAGAAAGGGTAGATAGGTTAGGCAGAGGACCAGTCAATAGGACGACTGTGGTTTCTAATATGACAGAGAAAAACATTATTAGTGTCGACAAGGCTAACACTTCTTTTGTGTTCTTTACATCGTAATAAAGGGAGCTGACAGTTTCTCCAAAGCTTTGGAGAGGACAAGAGAAGCAAGAAATAAAGTAGACACGGGAAGTATCAGTGGCAGGAGGAGAGATACGGACTAGATTACTACAATGGCAATTAATTTGGCGAAAACTAAGTTTTATGTCTAAAGGACGGAGTGAAGACCAATAAAGGACGACTTCATCTTCGTCCTGACGAGATTAGAGGTTAGAGAGATCAGGGGTGATATGATTGAGACGCATAAAATACTGATACGAATATACAGGGCAGACAAAGCGAGTGTTTGAGAGGCGGGTGTCGGATACACGAGGCCCCAACTGGAGGGTAAAAACATAGATGAGTCACGAGGATCCTTCAGGACGTGGAACGACCTAGAAAGCGAAGTAGAAGAGGCAGGACCCATACAGTATGATAAGGCTCAAACAGCGAGGAGAGGGAATGAACTTAGCAGCGGTAAGAGGAGAGGAGGGCTGTGAGCTGTGACTCGATCCCCGCCACCACAAATGGGTGAGTACAAATAGATGAGTACTGACGTGCATTGTTTTCAAGCACTGGTTGAGACTGTCAGTATGAGGATACCAAAGATTCTGAAAAGTAGCTTCAACAGTGGAAATAACATTATTTAAGAGACGGTAGATGCTCGCTGGCAAGCTTACTGGAGTGCTATGATAGTTACTGAGATAAAGCGAAGCAAGGAGAGGCTGTCTCCAGTTTTTTTTTACTGCAACAGGTATTTAACACAGTTCCTTGAAGGGAACAAAAATCAAGCGGAGGAGAAAGAAAAGTCATCCAGTAGATCAAGAGACAACAAGTGACAGTATCGGAGAAAGCCTCATGTTGAACTTAATATGTCTATCTAAACCTGGGCGGTGCCGGTCACTAGTCAGAGCTTAAAAAATTCAAGGGAACGGAAAACTCTAAATGGCCAGTAGAGGGGAACGTTTAGACAAAAATCCGTGTAAAAGCTGTGACGTATTCGACGGTGGCATCAGCCCTTTAATTCTCGTTAAAGCATAAAAGACACTGGATTAGGGTTAATGTAAGGGTCCCTCAAAGATTAATACTAGCCGAAAACTTTTCTTGGTATATGTGAATGACGCGCCAGATGGGTTCGAATCCTGTGTGTCTCAGTTTGAAGACAATGTGAAAATAGAGGGAAAGAAAAGTGAAAAGGAAAAGAAGCCTTAGGGAAAAGTTAAATAGGCTGCAGGAATTCATTCCGAACTAGTGAAGAGTCGTAAAAATTGGGGAAAGAAAGGAAAGACTGGATACGGAGTACAGAATTGGAAAAGATAGCCTACAGGTATCGACGAAAAGAAAAGAACTAGGAGTACACATCACACCGATGATATCGTCAGAGGAGCACATAAGCCGCATCACTTCCGGAGCATATGAGAAACTAGCCAGTCTCGAAACGATTAAATCGTATTTGATATTCAGAGAAGAATTAAATGCCAATATCTGCGTGAATAGCGATCTCAACGATCAGACTGATAATCAGGTCGATGTTTTGCATGTTTCCTGTACTTGTTAAGCCTTTTGTACAGAAAACGTCTTGTAAGTTTCCCTCATCAAAAGAGTGACTCGAAAAATGTCTAACTACAGTTACAACTGGGATAACATCAGATATAGTATAGATACAGGTGTGATATTCCAATCAGCAGGTGGGATAACTGAAGGTACAGGTGTGATATTCCCATCAATAAGTGGGATAACTGAAAGTACAGGTGTGTTAACACCAGGGACAGGTGTGATAGCTTAATAAAATCCATACTAGCATCCTTGTCTGTTTAGGTAGTTTTATTAACAACAGTGATTAAAATAGGGAACAGAAGTGGTTTACATAAAACACAACAAAGGTCGGTACAAGCAGGTGACTTTTGATAACACACAAGTAAATATATCAACATTAATATAGGACTTTAATTAAGGTACAACACACTGTTCAATTTGTAAAATAACATTTCAAATAATTATCCGGTTTCCTTAATAATAATAATAATAATAATAATAATAATAATAATAATAATAATAATAATAATAATAATAATAATAATAATAATAATAACAACAATAATAATAATAATATAATAATAATAATAATAATAATAATAATAATAATAATAATAATAATAACAGTGAATACAATCCACATATATAAAGAATGACATAACTCTTAAGAGTGCGTGCTTGATTGGAGTGTAGGTCAATGGATTTGACGTGCTGTTAGAATTCAGGGAAACTGGTTATGCAGTCTTGAGGCCTGGAAGTGGAAAATACAGTGTCTGCACTCTGAAGTAGGAGTGAGGATGTTCCGTGTAGTTCTGGCAGGATAGCTGCTAAATGAATGATAGTGAAGTTACCATTTTTTTGGAAGTCAGCTTACCTTGGTGGAATTATTATTATTATAATCAAAAAGAAGCGCTAAGCCACAAGGCCTATACAGCACCTTGGTGGAAGACAGCCGATCTGGTTAAAAAGAAAAATACCTTCAGTGGGTAACTTTCAACAGCGTCTCAAGAAGTGATGATCAGAGAGCAAAAAATCTTCAGCTGTTATTTGAAATAAGTTTACTCAAGTCGTATTGAACTTATGAGACATTTGGTCACTATAATGTTAGTCCAACAGCTGTCTAACATTTTAAGAAATGTACATCACTTGCTACAACTATGAAGCTTGGCGGTGACTCTGAGCTTCCTTCGGAATAATTTCACACGTGAAGTCATTGAAGGAAAACTATTATTCATTGTATTTGAGAGATTTGCTTGAAGCTTCCAAAAGTGCAGTTGTTAAATATGCTTGTAACTTTTTTTAACATTGTCACTTTCGTCATATATATATATATATATATATATATATATATATATATATATATATATATATATATATATATATATATATATATATATAATATATATATATATAATATATATATATATATATATATATATATATATATATATATAATATAAATATATATATATTATATATATATAAATATATATATATATATATATATATATATATATATATATATATATCAGTACATATATCTTATATATCAGTACATACATAACCTGCTGGACTATGTACTTAAATTAAGGGTTGAATCAACTATTGTCTTATGTTTACACTGTAATGATTTTTCTCCGTTTTCTTCCTGGTAGTTGTAAACAGAAACCATGAAAGATTACTGTAGTTTAAAAGCGAAAAAAATAACTAATTTATGTAAATGGTTTAGAAACATCTTCAAAGGGAACATAAAACGTGACTGTTGAGCTGTTTTGGTAAACATCTTGAACAAAGTTTTGATGAACATCATGAACAAAGTTTTCATGAACATAAATGAACAAAGTTTTTTGATAAACATGTATGCAACATATACTGGACTGAAATTTCGACATGCGGTCTCCTTGTGGCTTCCACACCGGAAATCATTTGCATTCGATAGGTAACGTTAAAAAAACGACAAAATGACTTCCAAATAATGCGTTATAATGAAAGAGAGAAAACACTAGCAGGAAGAATAAAGGAGATGATTACTACATATACGGTCATAAGAATATATTAAAGAATAGATATGCAAAAATTCTTAGCACCTTGAACAGGGAAAACATTTTGAGACAAAAAGTTGAACGAAGAGATACCGTATTTTCCGGCATATAAGGCGCACGAGCATATGAGGCATATAAGACGTTGTTTCCTATCAGTTATAGCGTAACGTTAGTAAACGACTGCTAAAGCGTAACGCAAAGCCTACCCTTGACCCCTAACCTTGAGCATATAAGGCGCAGGGTGATTTTCCAAGATTTTATGTGGGGAAGAAAAAGCGCGCCTTATATGCCGGAAAACACTGACCTTGAAAAACTTTCTTTGCAAACAGAGATTGGAACAATGGAATGAACAAATAACAATATAAATAAAAATGGAAGTGGTATTAAAAAAATATATATTAAAATTTATTGTGGAAAATTTGGTGGGCACCACGAGCTCTACTTTTGAGGCTATAAATAAATAATTCCAAATCGGCAATTAGGAAAATATTGTTACCAAACTGCTGTCACCAGAGGAGGTGGAGGACAATGGTAATTTTTTCTTGTATCCAAGTAATAATCTAATTGTTTTTTCTGCTGAAGAAGTGGGAAAACAATCACTGAAAACGACACAGTAGAGAACTAATAAGATTGACAAGGAGCAATGTCAATTATGAAATCTATGAAAAAGTGAAAAAAAAATACAGAATTATTCCGGGTCGTGTAGATGCGGCGTCTGAGGTTCTGTAATGCCTTGAGGACATGGCCCGGCCTTCTGACGAGACTTGTTACTGATGCTATAACAGCTAACGGTTCTGCATTTGTAAACGTGCTCACACTTTGCTTAACAAGAATATTTCTTGCATTTGCAACACTTGTCTTGAAACAACAACCAGGTGCTGCTAAAGGATTACGGCCTTGTCTGGCATGTATACAAGGCAAAGGCATTTAAAACAGCTTCAAGAGCACGGAGAGGAGAGAAACAAACGGAAGTTTGGCTGACATACATATCGCAAGAAATGGGCAGGAATTTATTGGCGTGGAGAAAATGTGAGTTAACTAGTGATTTTTTTTCCCTTAGCAGACAATAACATATCATCACTGCCCATAAAGTGTTATCTGCCGTTATCTCACTGATATATCATGGTTCTAGTCTTGTCAACATGATGACACTGACACCGGGATGGTGTTGCATATGGTGTATGCAGGAAAAATGGGGTCTTAAAAGTTTATATTGGCAATTTGATTGATGGAGGATGTGTTAGGGGACAAGCTCCAAAAAGTCGCAGGATTTTTCCGGCTTCTGATGAGTCTATTAACACCGCTCCCAATGCATTAGCTGTACAATAACGACTGTCAATACAGATGCCTTTAGTGGTAACCACCGTACAGCAAGTCAATGTTCAAGATGTCTAGGTAGTATTTGGAACGAGTAATTATTTCTGCTTACTTGTTTACTTATTTCCTGACCATCATGCACATCTCAGCATGTGATTTAAAGTCTTTGCTCGAAGACTTTGGTAAGAGGACAATCTGGAAAGTCACTAACATATGGCGATATGACCTTTACAAAACACTTTTGTGTGTGTGTGTGCACTTCTAAGCATTCTATCTAAGCGTCTCGAGTCAGAATATTTTTTATGTTGATGTATGAAGCTCGAGTAATTAGATGGATGGAAAAGCAGCCAGGGAATATCTGTTCCCCAAAAATATCAGAACTCTTGATAATGTCCTCTCTCTTTTCACTCAAAACTGTTACAGCAAATGGAGAGACGTGTTTTCCAAGGAGGACATTCCTTCACCAGAGCTTCTAGATCCTAAGTCACTGAGAATGGATAAAAAAAAAAAAAAAACTATGAGCCTAGGGAACCTCTATGTACTGGCCTCCCCGAGAGAGCAGGATCCTGCCTTGAGGTGCTAAGTCGTGGGTGCGCCGAGGGATACACGAGTTACACAATACACAAATAACCCGCACATAGGAGAGAGGAGCTTACGGCGACGTTTCGGTCCGACTTGGACCATTTACAAAGTCACACAGATTGCTACAGATGTATTTGTGTTGCCGCCCTTTAAATGTGCAGCTTTTTTACAATACTGTGTAACTTCAAATAATATAACATATACATTAATGCTGATATTCATTATTATATACATCCATAAGTGTATATGTATAACTACAGAATGGTATATATATTTGGTAAAAGCGTTCTTTTTTAAGGCGTAATGCAAAGATAATATATGTATTATTATGTATACAAAAATTTTTCTCAAGTCGGAATATAATCTAGATGTCTACAATGTACAGTGTATCTCAAAAAAAAAAAGTTTTACTTCCATACTTTCCCTAATAAAATTTTTAAGACCACACTGGACAAGTCAGTTTTATGTCATTCACACTAAAATGCTGAACGAGTTAATGACATTTCAGGCAAAAATTTACATAGTTTTACCTTTTTTATATTATAAATGCTCATTCACATGTCTGTACTGAAGGCTACCTATTATCCCAAGCAAAATCACCGTCCCTGATCTTCAGTGGGAATCACCAGATCGCAGTCACTGCCCCTCCACCAGCACATTAGTATGACCAGAAGAAAAAAGTCCGTCTAACAACATGGAGGAATCGGAGTGAGTTTCTTTGTAAATAACTGGTTGAATGTCCTTCCTATGAAGTACAGCAAATGATTCTCTTGGTCTCCAGAAGCACTTTCTCCATGTTGTTAGAGGCACAAAATACATCATATTGTATGTATTGAAGGGATAAGCAGTTCTTTCATCTCTCTATGTATACATGCAGTTACGTACTTTTTTTTGCAGTTATGCTAATAGTATAAACAACTGGAAGTTATACATGTACTTGTATCTAAACATACTGAATATTCAACATCATTTTCTTGCTAAATAACGTTCAGTTGTCCCATTTTTCTAAGCGTTTAGTAAGATATTTTTCAGAAACGTTTATTAATAAGCCTTTCCAAACATTTACTTACACTTCAAAATACACATAACCTATATAATCTTCCCAAACGTTTACCTGCACACTTTTTCCTTAACGTTTGCTTACTTTTCTCAAAAGTTTACTTACACGCTTTCTCAAACGTTTGGTTACACATCTTTCACAAAGGTTTGTCGTCTTGAAAGAGGGAAGACTGACTTTTATTTTTACGGAAACTGGGAATTATTTTCCACGAAAGTGTTGTGGAAAAACATTTTTGGTAAATTTGTCTTTGCTCCTCATGCGGACGTAACAGTTGCATGTTAGGCAGACTGAAGCTGCGTCCCATGCACCTCGGCGCCTCGGGACGCACAGCGCTCGACGCTGTCGGGAGAGGTAACAAAGTCATCGCCAAATAATTTTCTGAATTCCCCTTGTTTTTCTTACTGAAATTTTGTATTTTTATGTCCTCCCGAGACTCATCGTCTGAAATGATGCTATTTTGTAATGCGGTTCTGCCCTGCAACGTGGAGGAAGTGTATGGGTAGAGGGCTGTGTCGTGCGACTTCTGGGATAAGCTCCATATAGTCGCGGGATATCCCGGGCTTCTGATGAGTTTGTCAACTCCACTCCCAACGGAATAGCTGTATGCTAAGGGCAGCTTGGGTATCCCACCAGTTGGAAACTCTATGAGCACTGACGTCTGCAGTCTTATCCTAGGATCAGCAAAATTTCTGCCTCTCTCCAACACCTCCTTACGGATGAGAATACGTGATGCCCTCCTGAAATTGTAGGCAGAGATGGTGGTCCTGGGGTAGATATCAGCCACTGCGGGAGAGACGAGGCTTTTGCTCCTGCGGGAGCTGAGGGAAATTCTGCTATGCCTGCTCTCGCTAATGACGGGGTTGCTGGAGTAAGTGTTCCTCTGCAGCCGAGGACCCAGCGAGGTGTGGGGAGGGTCACTTCTGTGTAGTGGAGGACCCAGTGAGACGTAGGAAGGATCGCTGTTATCGATCCCCTAGTCAGGACAAGAAGAAAAATCACGCATTAGATCAGTTACTTTCTGTAATATCTGACTACACAACAAATTAAACAATGATTGCTTTTTTATAAGAGAACATAAGAACATAAGAACGAAGGAACACTGCAGAAGGCCTACTGGCCCATGCGAGGCAGGTCCAAGTCTCCTACCGGCTTAAGCCAATGCACCCAACCTAGACAGGTCAGGTCACATTGACTTAAGGGAGGAACACGGCAACCGACCTGTTAGCACAAGCTATCAGGTCTAACTCACACCCACCCACATCTACTCATGTATTTATCCAACCTATTTTTAAAGCTACACAACGTTCTGGCCTCTATAACGGTACTTGGGAGTTTGTTCCACTCATTCACAACTCTATTACCAAACCAGTACTTTCCTATATCCTTCCTGAATCTGAATTTTTCCAACTTAAAACCATTGCTGCGAGTCCTGTCTAGGCTAGATATTTTCAGCACACTATTTACATCCCCTTTATTTATTCCTGTCTTCCACTTATACACCTCAATCATATCCCCCCTAATTCTACGTCTTTCTAGAGAGTGCAGTTTCAGGGCCCTCAGTCTATCCTCATAGGGAAGGTTTCTGATACATGGGATCATCTTTGTCATCCTCCTTTGTACATTTTCCAGAGAATTTATATCCATTCTGTAATACGGTGACCAAAACTGTGCAGCATAATCTAAATGAGGCCTAACCAAGGATGTATAGAGTTGAAGAACAACCTGAGGACTCCTATTATTTATGCTTCTTGATATGAAGCCAAGGATTCTATTAGCTTTATTGCGAACACTTATGCACTGTTGTCTTGGTTTCAGATTACTGCTAACCAGAACTCCTAAATCTTTTTCGCAATCCGTAATATTAAGATCTACATTATTTAGTTTATATGTGGCATGGTTATTGTCCTGTCCAACATTTAGAACTTTGCATTTGTCTATATTAAACTGCATCTGCCACTTCTCCGACCACTGCATCAGTCTATTCAAATCTTCCTGGAGTGCTCGAATGTCCTCGTCAGAATGAATTCGACGGCCTATTTTGGTGTCATCGGCAAACTTGCCGATGTCGCTCTTTATGCCCTCATCTATGTCGTTTATGTAGATTGTGAACAGCAGGGGGCCCAACACTGACCCCTGTGGAACACCGCTCGTGACGCTACCCCACTCTGATTTCTCCCCATTTATGCAAACTCTCTGCTGCCTATTTGTCAACCATGCCTCAATCCAGGAAAAAATTTCTCCTCCTATTCCATGTGCTTTAATTTTCCTCAATAGTCTCTGATGTGGGACCCTGTCAAAAGCCTTACTGAAGTCCATATACACAATATCATATTCATTACCATGATCTACCTCCTCAAATACCTTAGTGAAAAAAGTTAATAAATTCGTAAGGCAGGAATGCCCCTTTGTAAAACCATGCTGAGATTCGTTGATTAATTTATGCTTTTCAAGGTGGCTACGAACTGCCTCGGCAATTATTGATTCCATAAATTTTCCCACTATGGAGGTTAGGCTTATTGGTCTATAGTTCGAAGCTAAGGACCTGTCACCTGTTTTGAAAATAGGTATCACATTTGCCATTTTCCACTTATCTGGCACCATGCCAGTTTGTAGTGATATGTTGAAAAGATTAGCCAAAGGTGTGCTAAGCTCCTCTTTACATTCCTTTAGAACCCTTGCATACAGTTCATCAGGGCCTGGGGATTTGTTAGGTTTTAATTTATCTATTTGCCTAAGGACCATGTCCCTTGTGACCCTAATAGTGCACAGTTTATTATCGTCCTGTTCTACATAATTTATCATTACTGGAATATCGCTGGTATCCTCCTGTGTAAAAACTGAGAGGAAGTATGTGTTAAAAATTCTACACATTTCCTTATCACTGTCAGTGAGCTGACCCGAGGAACTTTTGAGTGGGCCTATCTTGTCCCTGATCTTACTTCTGTATACCTGAAAGAATCCTTTTGGGTTAGTCTTCGATTCTCTTGCAACTTTAACCTCATAATCTCTTTTTGCTTTTCTAATTCCCTTTTTTATTTCTCTCTTTAACTGAATATATCGATTTCTTAATTGCCCCTCTCCTCTTTTGATTTGCCTATATATGCCTCTCTTTTGACCAATCAGATATTTTAATCTATTGTTCATCCATTTAGGATCATTTTTGTTTGATCTGATTTCCCTATTTGGAACATAATTTGACTGAGCAGCTAGAACTATGCCCTGGAAAGCATCATATCGGCAACCATCACCACCTACCTGACCCTTAGTCAGGTCATTCCAGTTCAGCCCACCTAATAATTTTTCAGTCCTATGAAATCAGCCAAGCGAAAGTCAGGACGGAGACTTGATTGCCATTATTAGGGGAATTCCATGATATATTAAAACTGAGTGATTTGTGATCACTCTCCCCAAGTTCATCATTAACCTCAAGATTATTAATTAGTGTTTCCCTACTGGCAAGAACCAAGTCAAGGAGGTTATTTCCCTAGTTGGCTCTGTCACAAACTGTTTTAAAAAACAATCTTGGATCGTATCAAGAAAGTCACCCGACTCTAAATTTCCTGTCAAATTGCTCCAGTCAATCTGTCTATAGTTGAAATCTCCCATTAGCACAACATTTTCGTATGTAGATGCCTTACGAATTTCGTCCCATAGAAGTTTACTGCACTCCCTATCAAGATTTGGGGCCCTGTAAATCACACCCAAAATTAGTTTTTCTCGGCCCTCGAGAAGCTGTAACCAAACAGATTCAGTGGCTGACGCTTCTAATTTAATATCTTGTCTAACACAACAATTTAAATTGTCTCTGACATACATCGCTACTCCACCACCTTTCCTGTTGACCCTGTCAGTGTGGAATAATTTATAGCCTTGTATGTGACATTCAGAGGGCATCTACACAAGTACCCCCTCATTTTTGGGACCAACTGTCCCCAGGCCTAACTTCTCGTAGGGAGAAGCCAGGCTTCTCTGGTCTGCCATCCCCGCCCCAAGGGGGCTAATGGGAATGACAGTCTTGTGAGCTGCAAGCTCGGGCTCAGGCACCTACCCTACCCTAGAAGGGCTGGGCATGGTGTCGATGTGTGTGTATCTCATGTGCTCCCCCCCCCCTCACTCTGTACTGAATTAGTGAAGCTCCGGATAAGCTAAACTTATTTAAATAAAAAAATAAAAATGTTGCACAAGTGTCTAATTTGTACAAAAAAAGCTGGATAATTTTGTAAAATTATTAATATCAGGTAATTAATCTAAATGTATAAGAAACATAAATATTTTGATTATCTAAAAATCTCATTTAACATTAGTTTTTGGCGACTGCACTTGAGTTATTAGCTCATCGACACCATGCCTAACCCTTCTAGGGTAGGGTAGGTGCCTGAACCCGAGCTTGCAGCTCACAAGACTGTCATTCCCATTAGCCCCCTTGCAGCGGGGATGGCAGACCAGAGAGGCCTAGCTTCTCCCTACGAGAAGTTAGGCCTGGGGACAGTTGGTCCCAAAAATGAGGGGGTACTTGTGCCTCCTCCCATTGGAGACTTAGGTCTCAGACACTCCTAGACAGGGAGCCAAGGCCGGACCACCACTTGGAAAAGGCCCGGGCCGGGAGAATACCGGCTAATCTTTAATAATAATAATAATAAGTTATTAGCTCTGAGCATCACCTATAGAATAATAAAGATGCATACTTTATCCTTATTATTGAGATTAAAGTAAGATTCAGTGTAAATACACACAAAGATATACATCTGTATACACTTCATGATGGGAACTGAGGCCCCTAGTATCCCACGATCACTAACGGGCCTAATACCTGAAAAACTAGCTAACACCTAATTACCCCACTCACTACATATAATCCCGCTCGGTCCTTTTCGATCACCAATCTTTTTTACTGATGGGGCAGTAATCCCAGGCCATCCCGCGTCCATGCGGGTTTGGGGCTCACCTTTCCTGTAAAGGTCCCGCTCTTCGCGTATATCGCTGACGGTGCTCACGGAACAGCCCAGATTGTGCCGTTCCTAAGCGTGTGTAGTGCCACTCCTGGTCCCCGAACAGGCACCTGCACGACCACCCCCCAGCCGCTTCCTCAGCCGTTCTGGGGATTATTATTAGTTCATTATTATTATTATTATTATTATTATTATTATTATTATTTTATTATTATTATTATTTTATTATTATTATTAAAAAATTTTTTCCGAAATGCTAAACCCGCGAGACAAATGGTCTTGAGGAATGTAAGATCTGAGAGTGATTAAAGGGAACGGAAGAATAGCGTTTTTTTGGGAAGGGAGTCCTTTACACGCCAAAAGGTGAGTCCTTTACACGCCATAAGGTGAGTTGTGGAGTGACCAGAGATGAAAGGGGAAAGCAAATTGAATAGATAAGCAGGGGGAGGGGGGGGGGAGAGTGGGGGGGAAAGAGGAAAGGGAAAGAGAGGGGGGGGGAGAGTGTAAGGAATGGCAATGAAAACAAAAAGGGATAAAAGGAGGACACTGCAGCAGCCTACGGGCCCATACGGGGAAGGTCCTATCAAATCAACCCACCAAAAAAAAATATTTGTTCACCCCTTCTTAATAATGTGCAAGTCCCCTGGTCCAACAAACCCGGGTTTGATGAGTAAAAGTCCCCACCTTGGGGTTGGTGTGACACCTTTCTTGAAGGAACGAAGCGGTAGATGATTACGGAATTCCAACAAATTAAAAAAAGTAGAATTATTAGGGGTACCCAGGTGGTGCATGTGTGTTAAATTCCTCAGGTGTGGTGAGGAGCAGCTATAATCAGAAGAGCCTTCTTTTATGAATGAGTAAAGAATCCAAGCATCTTCTGCTAACTCTAAGCATCGTCTGCTGACTCCAAGCATCGTCTGCCGACTCCAAGCATCGTCTGCTGACTCCTAATATTGTCTCTATTGCGACCTCAGAGAAAGGGCTCAGTAAAAATTTTGTGTATATACAGTCTTTTCATATAATTTGATATTGCTGATGTTTTCATTAATAGCAAAACTGAAAACTTTCATGCTTTATATTATTATTTGACTTATTATATTACCTTCTGTATGTAGGTAGAAAGTAACAACTACACCTCTCATTGTGCTCGTTGTTGGAGAGCTTAGACTGGCTGTCAGTACTTGCTAACTACTTGTCCGCTTGTTATAATACTGATCGTGCCAGACACGAGTTGGTACCAGTAACCTGACGTCGGATCTGCAAGCCTGCTTCCTTTTCTCTCTCTCTCTCTCTTTCTCTCTCTCTCTCTCTCTCTCTCTCTCTCTCTCTCTCTCTCTTTTCTCTCTCTCTCTCTCTCTCTCTCTCCCTCCTCTCTCTTCTCCCCTCTCTCTCTCTCTCTCTCTCTCTCTCTCTCTCTGTTGCTCATTGAGGAAACATCTCGTCTCTTGCTCTGTCCGGGAGAATGCTGAGGAGAATAGACTCTTTTTGGTAGAATATGTCTGTGTTGATGAGCTGGGACTTACTTGTAGATATATTGGTAGATTTTCCGACAATATGTAAAGTAAAAGGACACAAGTGCAACTAATGTGACATTTTATTGTGGCAACGTTTTGCTCCCCAGGAGCTTTGTCAAGCCGGCTTGACAAAGCTCCTGGAGATCGAAACATTGCCACAATAAAATGTCACATTAGTTGCACTTGGGACATACTTCTTGTAACTTTGTGCAACTGTGTTCATAGACCATTATTTAGACTTAGTGATATTTGACGTTTTCAGAGACACTTATTCTCTGGTCCCGAATTCATCTCTCGACCTACGGTGTTTTGACATCTACGCACTGACATGGTCAGGAAACTGGAATTGCTGGACCCAGTTTTAGTAATAGAGTTTTATGCCTTTTGTGTAAGAACTGTTGAAGGTCCGCAATTAGGGTTGTTTTTGATCTTCTTGATTACTCACCTGACACTGTCCTGTTCACTGCTGCCTTGAACAGTATTGCCGTTCGGCGAATGGGTCGTCATACTGTTCATGCAAGCTGTTTATCTTGTTGGTCCAGAAGTTAGCCTATTTAGGGGCTTGGTATTGTCAGTCACATTCTAGGTCTAAGCTGAATCAATGTGAGCACATACTGAACAATTACACATACACACATACAATATTTCTCTTGCATTAATGACTGAATGTCATAGCAACGCACTAGACCCACTAGAAATAAGCTAGATCTTAGAGGGAGATCAATAAGTTGACCTTATATTCTCTGTAGATGTCTTTACTTTATAGATGTCTCATTTTGTAAAGCCCCCTGTCATATTTTCTTCATTAGCAAAAAAGTTTAGCGTGTCCCCATCTATGAGTATGAGAGAAAAAGAAAGTTGCAATTTGGGTATCTTCATCCCAAAAACTTTTTTCCCCCTGAGTAGCAGCATCGTCAGTCTGGGCGAATGTAATACTGAAAGCAGAAAAAAACCTTTTTGATGTTATCAGACCCCCTTTTCCTATCTTGAAAGGGTTTTGGGTCGTCCCTCGACTGAGGGATGACTATCTTTTATCAAGAGCTGAGAGACGTCGCCAAAAATTATTCTACCGTCCACAGTAATATTCACCTGTATTAGATTTAAAAAGCCGCTGTACAAAAGAAACGTTTCGGCAAAAATGAAGCCAAGTGTAGGTTTTTTGTCTTACTCAACAACTTGTCAGCAATGTGACACAGTAGAGTCCTTCTTGTACAGTGCAACATTGTTCTTTCTCAATTTTTCTTAACTTCACCAACTTTTCGCCTTTTCTTTTTAAAACAAATTTTTTTTCCCTTTCATCCCCTTTTTCCCCCCTCTTTCTACTGCTTTTCTTTTCTATCCCTTTTTATTATTCCCAATTTCTTATTATTCTTTCCTGTCTCTTATTAATCTTCCATATCCACCATGATCGCTCTCTATTCTTTATGTCTCCATATACCTTATCATTTCTCCCTAATCCTTGTTATCTCTCGCTATCATTATTTCTCCCTATCCCTTAATACTTCTCATTATCTTTCACTCTCCCTTAACCTCCCTCACTGTCTCTCCTCATTCCTTAGTCTGCCTGCTGACCTTGAAGCGTGGGTGGGAGAGGGCATAAACGTAGGGGTCGAAACAGGATGCTGTCTTGGCGAAGAGCGCCGGGATCATGGAGACCAAGGGCGTGATGATGGCACGCTGCTGGAAGATGCCTAGCAGTGCCACCACGGCATATGGCGTCCAAGCTGCCACCCACATTCCAATGATCCCAGAAGCCACTTTGGCCAGCTGCACCTGCCGGGGGTAATACAATGTGAATGGACCTGGTGGTGTGGAGGGTTAGGGAGGGAGAAAGGTGTTGGGAACGATGGATGAAGGGGGTGAAGGGGGTAATAGGATGTGGAGGGGGTGAAGGGCTGGGATGTTGGGATGCGATGGAGTGGTGGGTATCGTAGGGGTAGGGGTTTGAGTGTGGGGTATGGATGATGGATATTACAGCTACTACTGCTACTTTTACTGGTAATAAAAACAATAATAATAATAATAATAATTTTATTATTATTATTATTATTATTTATTATTATTATTATTATTACTATTATATTATTATTATTATTGTTATTATTATTATTATTATTATTATTATCATTATTATTATTATTATTGGAAGTAACAGAATAATTACTAGACACTCCTGGAATAGCAGTGACTGAATGAATGACGGCAAAAGTGTTTCCTCTTTTTCCTCTTCAGGAGTTTTGTCAAAAGAACAGTCACACTGGGATGGCCCAGTACTGGAGAATATAGCCTCAACAATGCTTCAGAGTGTGTCGGAAAAGGGACTTCCTGTTGGCTGTTCCCAATTCCTTCCTTGACACAGGTTTCGACCTACAGACCATCAATTTACACAAGAAGTGCATATATAATATATATATATATATATATATATATATATATATATATATATATATATATATATATATATATATATATATATATATATATATATATAATATATATATATATATATATATATATATATATATATATATATGTCGTGCCGAATAGGCAGAACTTGCGATCTTGGCTTAATAGCAACGCTCATCTTGCCATATAGGACAAGTGAAAATTTGTGTATGCAATAATTTCGCCAAAATCATTCTGAACATGACGAAAAAAAATATATTTTGCTGTTTGTTTAGTATTAAATTAAAGTAAACAAATCTAAAATATATTTAGTTGGGTTAGACTATAATAAATATTTCATTAATATACAGACTGCTGGTGAAGGCTAGTACACCAAACTCGATGAGGTTGAAATTAGTCTCTTGAGGCTCCACGACCACGTATGTCCTTGCACCAGGTAAAACACACTCAGCACCGCTGAGCGCCTGGTGTTTTGAGGATTGTTGGTTCAGTGGATAGAGTGATGCGTACTTTGTTCACTTCTCACAGGGCTGGGAATATATATATCCAACCCTTCAAAATAAAGAAATGCAGAAATATTTGCATTGGCGAAATATACCAAGGTAAATAAATGCCTTCGTACACTCGAACCTAAGAAATGTTGAATAAAGTTAATTAATTTCTAGGTAAGAACCCAACCTTTTGTGAAGATAAGGACCATATTCTACTTAGATGTTGTGCCTGATACAGCACAATGGAAGACTACAGGTCGATAGACCAGACTAGAGTGTGGGTGCTGGAGCGACTTTATTAAAAGTATCGGATGACTAGCCTCTTAAAGAAATATGGAGAGACGCAGAGCGAAAGATAGAAGAAGGCGGAGACGGAGTCAAGAAGAGGGACATTGTCTGTCATTTAGTGGAGCTGACCTCGGAAGATGACTGATTAGTTTTGTTTTATGAACTGTCCGAGGGCTATTGAGGCAATATTTCATCTGTACATCACCAGTTTTATATTCCCTAAAACAGAAAGTAAACTCTCGTTGTATATGCAACCCCCTTCTCTGGTATATATAAACTGCTCCTCTTAGCTCACGTACATGGAGTGGAAACACATCCCTAATCAAATATACATTGTGGTTCCCAGAGCCACGTGTGCTAGAGCTTGTATCTTCACCATGAAGATTGTTATTTAAGACGGAGAAAAAGCGCGTTTGAAATGTTATCTTGCAATTTATTCGCCTCTCATAAACAAGATTTAACACCATAAGTTCATATCCTTATTTAACTGTATAATGAAAACATTTATTGGCAAACTATATATTCTTTTGACGTATCGTGACATATGCAGTTCCTAATATAAGATCAAAGTTAACTCTAAGCATATATATATACTGACATACCCCAGGTGTTAATATTCTTGATCTGTTTTATTATAGTACAGTAACATCAGAGGTTCTGCCCCCAACACAATACCGCTTACTATTTTTTCCCAATTATGCGTCCTATTTACTAAATTTACCTATATTAATAAACTTACTCGAAACTGCTACTGTTTCAGGGGAATAAGTTGACTTGCGTCAGTTTTTTTTTTAACAGTCATTATGTTGGGAAGAATTGTAGAAGTGATTCCCCAAGCCTTTTAAAACAAAAATGCGTTCATTTTTTAATAAACTGGGTGAAAACCCTTATATACTGCATCTAAAATGTGATCTTTAATTTTCCCTGGGTTGGACGGAAATCTCGGTCAAATGGCCTCAAGTTTTATTTAATGAGTGGTATGTGAGATCGAAAAGTTGAAGACATGCACATCACCTGGATAACTTTATTATGGAGATGTTTGAGGAGTTATTCTCGGTCTTAAAACTGCGGATACCGCCCATCCTGGATTAGTCAGCACTTCAAAAAAAAAAAACTGGAGGTGAGGATGATGCTGGTATTACCTAGCCACAGGTTAAACTGGAAGTAAAGGAAGAAACAGTTACTACCAGTACCTTTTTAAGCCAGTACACTGAATAATTATGGTGGAAGAAGTGGAGAGGCACTTTGAAACAATTGGCCAAACGTCTCCACAATAAAGATATGCAGGTGTTGCGCGTGTCTTATCCCATCGACGAAAAGTGTTTCTGACAGGGTCATCATATTGGTTAAGTCTCGCGTGAAGTTAAAATATTCCCGTTTCTCGTGACAGACACAGCACCACGCTTTAATACATCTGGTTAAGCTGTTTTATCGACTGTATAACGAAACTTAGTTATACGACGTTAGTAAGAGTGAACACTGAGAAATATAACTTCAATAATATTAAAATAACATGTAACTTGAATAACATTAAAATAATTGAAAGAGCTGGTAAGTACGCAAAACAGCACTATGTAATAGTTTAATATTTTTAAGTGAACTGACTGACCAGTCTGAGACCTGGAGATCCTCGGAGACATCATCTATAAACACAGTTTCAAGAGTAGGAATGAGAGAGACCAAGAGGCAGTGATATAACTCTCATAAATACAGCTCGCTGAGAACTCACAAACTCCAGAACTTTTACTCACCTCCAGATTCTTCTTCCTCTTGACGCTCTGGTGTCTGAAGGAGTTAGAGAAGGAGCCGTGATAGCTCTTGTACTGGAGCTCTTGCTTAGCCACGGTGCTGACGATGGACATGTAGCTGAAGGTGATTATGTGTAGAGGCACCACCCAGGCCGCCACGAAGAAGCAGAAGATGTACACTCTGTTCCGCATTGCCTCGGACAGGTAGTCGAAGCTATGATCAGCAGAGAGAGTAAGAGAGAGAGAGCAAGAGAAAGAGAGAGAGAGAGAGAGAGAGAGAGAGAGAGAGAGAGAGAGAGAGAGAGAGAGAGAGAGAGAGAGAGAGAGAGAGAGAGAGAGAGAGAGAGAGAGAGGTGATATTCAGCATGATGTATACTGCATAACGATAATATTGTGTTTGTTATAAAAGTGATGGTGATGATAGTGATAATGATAGGGATGCTAATTGGCGTGTGTATGGGGACGAAGATTTTACATTAACTACGCGAAAGACACCTGTCACAGTCAGTGAACTAAAATGACGTAAGAGGTCTAATAATAATTATATCCTGTCTTTTACACAAATAAGCTTCTGCAAAATTATATATATAAATATATATATATATGTCGTGCCGAATAGGCAGAATTTGCTATCTTGGCTTAAATAGCAACGCTCATCTTGCCATATAGGACAAGTGAAAATTTGTGTATGCAATAATTTAGCCAAAATCATTCTGAACCTAACGAAAAAAATATATTTCACTGTGTTTGTTTAGTTTTAAATTACTGTAAACAAATCTAAAATATATTTAGTTGGGTTAGGCTAAAATAAATTGTTCTTGTTATAATAAGGTTAGGTAAGTTTTCTAAGATTCTTTTGGTGCAAAATTAAATTTTTTTACATTAACATTAATGAAAAAAATATATCTTTAAACGTATAAAAGAAAATTTCAGAAAGGACTTAATTTTAAATGAGTTCTTGCTAATTGACCAGTTTTACATATTCGGCACGACATATATATATATATATATATTATATATATATATATATATATATATATATATATATATATATATATATATATATATATATATATATATATATATATTTAACAGACATCCTAAAGGCGTGGTAAATATACTCATGTATCACCCAAACATTTTAGAATATTAAACTCCATCATAGGTGCTAAAAACCATTGAGAACAGTTACCAGTTGAATACTTGCTTTATATTAAGAGTAAAATAACACACATTTTATTTAAACAAAGTCAGCAAACTTTAAATATATCTAAGGTACACAAATCTCTCTCTCTCTCTCTCTCTCTCTCTCTCTCTCTCTCTCTCTCTCTCTCTCTCTCTCTCTCTCTCTCTCTCTCTCTCTCTCTCTCTCTCTCTCTCTCTCTCTCTCTCTCTCTCTCTCTCAAATAAAAGGAAGAGAGGAACATTTTAAGACACTTTTCTGAAGGAAAGTGAGGAAGCCTTCAGTACAGAATACCTGTGACTGCTTTCATCACCTGCAGGTCAGTACCTGCAGATGGCGAGTGCAGTCACAGGTACTGCCCTGCAGGTAATGAGTACAGTCACAGGTGCTGACTTGCAGGTGGTGAGTGCAGTCACAGGTACTGACCTGCAGGTAGTTAGGTAGCCTTCAGGTGAGTAGGTGATGCCAACGATGCCCATCAGGGGCATGGCTGAGAAGATGCCAGAGTACACCCAGGTGATGATGCTGATGCCCAGCACCTGTAAGAAGGAGCAGATAAATGGAGGAGTGCCAACAAGACAGGGAGATTAACAAATAAGTGCCAACAAGACAGGGAGATTAACAAATGAGTGCCAGCAAGACAGGGAGATTAACAAATGAGTGCTAACAAGACAGGGAGATTAATAAATGAGTGCCAACAAGACAGGGAGATCAACAATTGAGTGCCAGCAAGACAGGAAGATTAATAAATGAGTGCCAACAAGATAGGGAGATTAACAGAGGAGTGCCAACAGGACAGGGAGATTAACAGATGAGTGCCAACAGGAGAGGGAGATGAACTGAGGAGTGCCAAGAATGGTAAGTGTTAGAGCAGTCTGAAACACCATTCATTAATTTTTACTTTGGCACAAAGTTTATAATTAATAAAAACCAATTTGTCTGACCCTCATCCCCTCCTCCTCCTCTTCCTCCTCCTCCTCCCTCCTACCCCCCGCCTCCCCCTCCTAAAGAACAATGAGGCACAATAACGTGACTGGAACAATACACAAATAACCCGCACATGGGAGAGAGGAGCTTATGACAACGCTTCGGTCCGATTTGTACCATTTACAAGGCACGAGAGTTTATTTGATTTGACTGATTCGTCAGGAACTGCTTCCTGACACGAGTCTTCATCTTAAGAGGACCCATCTGAAGATCTCGAACGAGATATCGATGTAATTCAGCTCTTCTGTAGCTACGATCGGAGTCTTGATGCAGTCCCTGTGTGTTCCGAGGCTAAATATTTTATGAACAAAAACGGGCTGAGGCCATCAGGTCTTCACAATAGTTGTGAATCAGGTCGCATATGATATATCGGTGAAGAGCGTGATAGTCGACATCATTTGTTGGCTCAGGGGTAATACAGGATGTCCTGCTATGTTCTGAGTTACAGTGTTCCTCACTGGTGATTACTGTGGTGCTAGGGTTGACTCGTTGGCTGTAGTTTGTTCCTGCGGAATTGCGGCCGTCGGTTGCTGTTGTCAAGTGGGAGTATCAGAAACTGGCTGAACAAGGACGCCACGCCATCGTTGTTTCCTCGGCTTCCTTCGTCGCTGTGGCCGGGGAAGTGGCCCTGAGTTCCGTGATATGTAACTTCGTCAGGACGAGGCTGCTGGTCAGTGGTGAGAACTCTACTTGATGTTGGAGGCTGGACAACTGGGGTTTTTCATGCTGTCGTGACACGGCGGAGCCTCTCCAGGCAGTACAGGTTCTAGGCATGATGCTTCTTGCATGAGAGTGACGAAGGCAGTATACATAGGCGAGGGGAACAGGGATGGGACAAAGAGAGAAAGAAAGAAGGAAATGGAGAAGTTTTAAGGGCACAATAGGGAGAGAGAGAGAGAGAGAGAGAGAGAGAGAGAGAGAGAGAGAGAGAGAGAGAGAGAGAGAGAGAGAGAGAAGAGAGAGAGAGAGAGAGGAGAGAGAGAGAGAAGAGAGAGAGAGAGAGAGAGAGAGAGAAAGTTTTATTAGTTGAAGTTTTATGTCTCTGGGACAAATCTAGTGGTTGATCTCTGCACTCTTTTAAGCTTCGTCCAATGGAGGGCATCACTCTGGTCTCGCGTCCTCGAGGGAAACTCTGACATACAAACAGTGCAGTATTGTAAAGCAGTGCTGTATAGCAGGGAGGGTAACCAGTCAACCTGGAGTGAGCCAGGCAAGGAGCCAGAGGTGACCTGGGTGACTTGGATGACCCCGGGGTGACCCATCTCAGTACTGTGACGCTGGTCATGGACGCAATACCTGCTCTTAAGGCGAGAACATGCTCGTCGATAAAGGATTCTCAGATTCTCAGGACGTCGAGACAGTAATGAGAGACGCAACATGTATCGTCTTGGTTGAAGGTCATACATAAAACACGATAGCAAAAATAAAAAAAAATAATTACGTAATGAACACTGTGTCAACCGTACAGATGTTTATATTTTATTTAGTATGATTTGTTATGACAGAAAATATTTATTTTATACACACACACACACACACACACAAACAAACACACACACACACACAACACACACACACACACACACACACACACACACACACACACACACACACACACACACACACACACACACACACACACACACACACACACAAGGCTGCAGACCTGGTCCAGCAATTGGCTCCTGGAGTTCAATCCCACCAAGTGCAAAGTCATGAAGATTGGGGAAGGGCAAAGAAGACCGCAGACGGAGTACAGTCTAGGGGCCCATAGACTACAAACCGCACTCAAGGAAAAAGATCTTGGGGTGAGTATAACACCAGGCACATCTCCTGAAGCGCACATCAACCAAATAACTGCTGCAGCATATGGGCGCCTGGCAAACCTCAGAACAGCATTCCGACATCTTAATAAGGAATCGTTCAGGACCCTGTACACCGTATACGTTAGGCCCATATTGGAGTATGCGGCACCAGTTTGGAACCCACACCTAGCCAAGCACGTAAAGAAACTAGAGAAAGTGCAAAGGTTTGCAACAAGACTAGTCCCAGAGCTAAGAGGCATGTCCTACGAGGAGAGGTTAAGGGAAATCAACCTGACGACACTGGAGGACAGGAGAGATAGGGGGGACATGATAACGACATACAAAATACTGAGAGGAATTGACAAGGTGGACAAAGACAGGATGTTCCAGAGATTGGACACAGTAACAAGGGGGCATAGTTGGAAGTTGAAGACACAGATGAATCAAAGGGATGTTAGGAAGTATTTCTTCAGCCACAGAGTAGTCAGTAAGTGGAATAGTTTGGGAAGCGATGTAATGGAGGCAGGATCCATACATAGCTTTAAGCAGAGGTATGATAAAGCTCACGGTTCAGGGAGAGTGACCTAGTAGCGATCAGTGAAGAGGCGGGGCCAGGAGCTCGGACTCGACCCCCGCAACCTCAACTAGGTGAGTACATATATATATATATATATATATATATATATAATATGTGTGTGTGTGTGTGTGTGTGTGTGTGTGTGTGTGTGTGTGTGTGTGTGTGTGTGTGTGTGTGGTGTGTGTGTGTGTGTGTGTGTGTGTGTGTGTGTGTGTTTGTTTGTTTGTTTAGACTTTGCAGAACAAGCTAAATATTTTCAGTCAGTAACCCCAGGACGATGGAGATTCGAACCTTTGAACCTTTGGACAAGGTACTGAGTACTCTACACACCGTCCCACACTGGTCCAGTACTTTGGTTCCCAGTTAAGCTAAGCGCTGAGCCAAAGCAGCCAGCATTCAGTGGGGTGGTTAAAATATTTCGTTGGTCGATGCATGCTGGAGATGAGATGAAAAACCCAGTCACCTCCCTGAATGCTGGCTGCTTTGGCTCAACGCTTAGCTTAGCTGGGGACCAGAGTATTGGACCAGTGTGGGACGGTGTGTATAGTATCCCGTACTCTGTCATAAAGTTCGCAGTCTCTTTCGGCCTGGGGGTAGTACAGTGGGGTATGATGTGACGAACGGTTTATATAACGAATATTTACATTACGAACGGTAATTCTATCCTCTGCCTCCTGTCCTGCTGAGCAACACTAAGGTAGGTCAAAGTAAAATATATTTAATTACTTTTTGTACTAAGTTATTATTTTTTATTAAAAGTTTTAATGATATTCTTCATAATTTAGTGTAGTGGGAATGACAGTTTCCTGGAATCCCTGGAATCCATTAATTCCGAATAAAACGAGCAATGTGCCTCCGTGAGTGCTACAGATTTTACCATTATGGAAGTTGATGAAACACGCCAGGAAACCTGAGAGATCCGAATTACTGGCGAGAAAACTGGGAAGATTTAGTGAACAAATCCATTTTATTTTTTACTCAACATGGTTAAAGATAACTTTTAGAATTATAATATCCAAAAACATCAGCGAATAGCATTAAGACACACACACACACACACACACACACACACACACACACACACACACAGTCCGGAGAACATAAAGTAGTCATTGGAGTGATGTATAACCCACCACAGAACTGCAGGAGGCCAAGAGAGGAGTACGAAGAAAACAACAGGGTGATGGTGGACACACTGGCTGAGGTGGCAAGAAGAGCTCACTCGAGCAGAGCAAAGTTACTGGTAATGGGCGATTTCAACCACAGGGAGATCGACTGGGAAAACCTGGAGCCACATGGGGTCCCGAAACATGGAGAGCCAAGATGATGGATGTGGTACTTGAAAACCTCATGCATCAACATGTCAGGGACACTACCAGAGAGAGAGGGGAGGATGAGCCAGCAAGACTGGATCTTGTGTTCACCCTGAGCAGTTCGGACATTGAGGACATCACTTACGAGAGGCCCCTTGGAGCTAGCGATCATGTGGTGCTGAGTTTTGACTATATAGTAGAGTTACAAGTGGAGAAGGTAACAGGAACTGAAGGGGACAGGCCAAACTATAAAAGGGGGGACTACACAGGTATGAGAAACTTCCTGCAGGAGGTTCAGTGGGACAGAGAAATGGTAGGAAAATCAGTAAACGAGATGATGGAATATGTGGCAACAAAGTGCAAGGAGGCAGAGGAAAGTTTTGTTCCCAAGGGAAACAGAAATAATAAGAAGACCAAAACGAGTCCTTGGTTTACCGAAGGTGTAGGGAGGCAAAAACTAAGTGCAACAGAGAATGGAAAAGGTACAGGAGGCATAGGACCCAGGAAAACAAGGAGATTAGTAGAAGAGCCAGAAACGAGTATGCACAGATAAGGAGGGAGGCCCAGCGACAGTATGAAAAACGACATAGCATCGAAAGTCAAATCTGACCCGAAACTGTTGTATAGCCACATTAGGAGGAAGACAACAGTCAAGGACCAGGTGATAAGGCTGAGGAAAGAAGGTGGAGAACTCACAAGAAACGATCAAGAGGTATGTGAGGAGCTCAACACGAGATTTTAAGGAAGTATTTACAGTAGAGACAGGAAGGACTCTGGGGGACAGACCAGATGGGGACACCAGCAAGGAATACACCAACAAGTGTTAGACGACATACATACGATGAGGAGGAGGTGAAGAAACTGCTAAGGGACATCGATACCTCAAAGGCAATGGGACCGGACAACATCTCCCCGTGGTCCTTAGAGAGGGAGCAGATATGTTGTGCATGCCACTTGCCACAATCTTCAACACATCCCTGGAAACTGGGCAACTACCTGAGGTATGGAAGACGGCAAATGTAGTTCCCATTTTTAAAAAAAGGAGACAGAAAAGAGGCACTAAACTATAGACCTGTGTCATTGACGTGTATAGTATGCAAAATTATGGAGAAGATTGTCAGGAGGAGAGTGGTGGAGCACCTGGAACGGAACAGGAGTATAAATGCCAACCAGCACGGATTCACGGAAGGCAAATCCTGTGTCACAAACCTTCTGGAGTTTTTACGATAAAATAACAGAAGTAAGACAAGAGAGAGAGGGGTGGGTTGATTGCATCTTCTTGGACTGCAAGAAGGCCTTTGACACAGTTCCTCACAAGAGATTAGTGCAGAAGCTAGAGCATCAGGCGCATATAACAGGAAGGGCACTGCAATGGATCAGAGAATACCTGACAGGGAGGCAACAACGAGTCATGGTACGTAATGATGTATCACAGTGGGCACCTGTGACGAGCGGGGTCCCACAGGGGTCGGTCCTAGGACCAGTGCTATTTTTGGTATATGTGAACGACATGACGGAAGGGTTGGATTCAGAAGTGTCCCTGTTTGCAGATGATGTGAAGTTAATGAGGAAATTAAATCAGATGAAGACCAGGCAGGACTTCAAAGAGACCTGGACAGACTGGACACCTGGTCCAGCAAATGGCTTCTCGAATTTAATCCTGCCAAATGCAAAGTCATGAAGATAGGGGAAGGGCACAGAAGACCACAGACAGAGTATAGGCTAGGTGGCCAAAGACTGCAAACCTCACTCAAGAGAAAAGATCTTGGGTGAGTATAACACCGAGCATGTCTCCGGAAGCACACATCAATCAGATAACTGCTGCAGCATATGGGCGCCTGGCAAACCTGAGAACAGCATTCCGATACCTTAGTAAGGAATCATTCAAGACACTGTACACCGTGTATGTCAGGCCCATACTGGAGTATGCAGCACCTGTTTGGAACCCGCACTTGATAAAGCACGTCAAGAAACTAGAGAAAGTACAAAGGTTTGCGACAAGGTTAGTTCCAGAGCTAAGGGGAATGTCCTATGAAGAAAGATTAAGGGAAATCGGCCTGACGACACTGGAGGACAGGAGGGTCAGGGGAGACATGATAACGACATATAAAATACTGCGTGGAATAGACAAGGTGGACAAAGACAGGATGTTCCAGGGAGGGGACACAGAAACAAGAGGCCACAATTGGAAGTTGAAGACACAAATGAGTCAGAGAGATAGTAGGAAGTATTTCTTCAGTCATAGAGTTGTAAGGCAGTGGAATAGCCTAGAAAATGACGTAGTGGAGGCAGGAACCATACACAGTTTTAAGACGAGGTTTGATAAAGCTCATGGAGCGGGGAGAGAGAGGGCCCAGTAGCAACCGGTGAAGAGGCGGGGCCAGGAGCTAGGACTCGACCCCTGCAACCACAAATAGGTGAGTACAAATAGGTGAGTACACACCACACACACACACACACACACACACACACACACACACACACACACACACACACACACACACACACACATACACACATACACACATACACGAATGGTAACTAACACACATACACACACACACACACACACACACACACACACACACACACACACACACACACACACACCTTACCTGCCTGCTGGATAACTTCTTGAAGGGGTCCAGAGGGAAGGAGATAACGAGATAGCGATCAAAGGAGATAGCAGCCAGAGTCATGATGGAGGTGGTTCCCGTGATGGAACTCACAAACCCATATATATCGCAACCTGAAGGAGGGAGAGAGGGAGGAAGTTACCTTCTGGATGTAGTGAGAGAGAAAGAGTGATGCCCTTCAGGAGCGAAGCAGGGAGTTGCTACCTTTCTTGAGGTGGGAGGGAGAATTACATGAGGAAGGGAAGGTCATCCTACAGGAGGCAGGGAGAGTAGGGAGGGAGACTCATCTTACAGGAGGGAGGGAGAGTAGGGAGGGAGACTCATCTTACAGGAGGCAGGGAGAGTAGGGAGGGAGACTCATCTTACAGGAGGGAGGGAGGGAGCGTTACCCTACAATAGGGAAGGAGGAAATGTTACTTTGCACAAGGAATGAGGAGAGTGGAACCCTACATGAGGGAGGAAGGGATGGGAAGGAGGGAGTGGTGCCCTACATTAGGGACGGAGAGAGTCTGACCCTAAAAGAGGGAGGAAATGTTACCCGCTCATGTTTATAGTAATATCTGAAAATATTTTGGTTATGTTTTTAGGAATTTAATTAGAATAATTCACAGTTTATATTAAAAAAAGAGAAACGTAGATCTGTTATGTTATCATGTGACACTGTGAGATTGAATGTTATCATGTGACACTGTGAGAGTGAATGTTATCATGTGACACTGTGAGATTGAATGTTATCATGTGACACTGTGAGAGTGAATGTTATCATGTGACACTGTGAGATTGAATGTTATCATGTGACACTGTGAGAGTGAATGTTATCATGTGACACTGTGAGAGTGAATTTTATTATGTGACACTGTGAGAGTGTTATCATGTGACACTGTGAGAGTGAATTTTATTATGTGACACTGTGAGAGTGTTATCATGTGACACTGTGAGAGTGAATGTTATCATGTGACACTGTGAGAGTGAATTTTATTATGTGACACTGTGAGAGTGTTATCATGTGACACTGTGAGAGTGAATGTTATCATGTGACACTGTGAGAGTGAATGTTATCATGTGACACTGTGAGAGTGAATTTTATTATGTGACACTGTGAGAGTGAATGTTATCATGTGACACTGTGAGAGTGAATGTTATCATGTGACACTGTGAAAGTGAATGTTATCATGTGACACTGTGAAAGTGAATGTTATCATGTGACACTGTGAGAGTGAATGTTATCATGTGACACTGTGAGAGTGAATGTTATCATGTGACACTGTGAGAGTGAATGTTATCATGTGACACTGTGAGAGTGAATGTTATCATGTGACACTGTGAGAGTGAATGTTATCATGTGACACTGTGAGAGTGAATGTTATCATGTGAAACTGTGAGAGTGAATGTTATTATGTGACACTGTGAGAGTGAATGTTATTATGTGACACTGTGAGGATGTTATTATATGAGTATGAAATACATTGTGAAAACCGAACATTATATAATAATAATAATAATAATAATAATAATAATAATAATAATAATAATAATAATAATAATAATAATAATAATAATAATAATAATAATAATAATAATTATTATTATTATTATTATTATTATTATTATTATTATTATTATTATTATTATTATTATTATTATTATTATTATTGTTATTATTATTATTATTATTATATACCCAGGTAAACTTTTGAGGACTGCAATTTTTCAGAGAATACAATGGTAAAACCAACAGAATCAAACGTTAATATATATAAAAGTATAGGCAAACACTCTGATTCATTGACACGAAGCTCACACAAGCTTACACAAGCTCACAAAAGCTTAGTTACTCATTGCGTACTTTTTCCTTCCCCGGCATGTACAAACGAAAATAAAAAATTGTGAATTAGGAATTCCAATGAACCCGAGACGTGTTGAAAAGGGAAGGTCTTGAGCCTGAGATCTAATGGTTGTAATCATAAGCATAATTTTTAAAGGGGTTTACCGGTAAGCCAGAGGAAGGACTCGGTCAGAAGACGATAAACCGCAGATTAAGACCCCGCGTCATGAAACACTTCTCCTGTTTCCTGACAAACCTGATCTGACCTCCTGAGCGTGGAGGCGGTGGCCATGCTGAATGTTCTTGAGGAGGAAGTGGAGGTAAATTCTTTCTTGAATGTCTTAGAGGAAGAAGGCAAGGAAGAGGAGGAGGAGGAGGAGAAGGAAGGTAAACTCCATTGTGAATGTCTTTGAGGAAGAGGGAATAGAGATAAATTCCCTCAGGAATGTCCTAGAGAGAAAGTTAAAAATAAGTATTCACACTGGTCGAACATTGGCTAAGAGGCGAAGTCCGGGAGCTGGAGTTCCTACATCCTGCTCATACACATAGGAACAAGCACCTGGAGAACACCTAGCCTAGAGTAAACCTTTTGTTATTTAACCAACATGGATTACAAGACGGGAAATCTCACCAAAAGAAACAGAATTTAATAGTAGTTTACTTAGGATTGCGTAAGAAATGACGGGTTGCGTGGAGTGTGCATACACAGTGTAAATATACTCCAGAAACTCTAACATGAAACTGATTTGAAAAGATAAAAGACAGTCTGGGTTAAGCTGGATGACTCTCCACTGTAACTGTAACTGTCGTATAATTATGCAGTGAATGATGACAACTGAAGATTGTGATAAGTGATGATGATAAATTTGACTTTTATAAAGAGTTGTTAACAAATGGGAGATGTTAAGATAAGATTTGTTCGGGCTTTAAACCCGGGAGGGTTAGTCGTCAGGATAACCCAAGAAAGTCAGTGGAAAGTCCTGTGGAGGGTAGAGCAAGAATATGGGTATGCATAGAATGCCTTCCAGCAAGACTGTAAAACAGTTAGCAGGGATAAACGTGGGTATGTATTATTTACAAATTGTGTATTATTTACAAATTGTGTATTATTTACAAATTTTCATGTATTACTAATAAACAGATAACAATCTGAAATTTTTACAAATTGTCGTGCGTTATTTACACATTGTCGTGTATTAGTTAGAAACTGTCGTGTAATATTTATAAATTGCCGTGTATTATTTACAATTTGTTGTGTATTACTCTCAAATTGTCGCTATTGTACAGAAAGAAAACTGAGAAAATACAAATATTCAGTATGCTTGATGGCATGAACTAAATTCTCAAAAGTACAACGCTTTTCAACATAATATTCAAACATTGTCAATTTATGTAGTAATCCCCGGGAAGGTGGACCTCGCTCAGGCCACAATTCAATTTTCATTCACAATATGACTCGATCCAATTTACAGTTGCCCTTGGAAAAGGAGACTCATTTGCAAGAGACAAGAGGTTTGTAGATCACCGGAAAGACAGAGAGTGAGAGAGAGAACGAGAGAGAGAGAGAGAGAGAGAGAGAGAGAGAGAGAGAGAGAGAGAGAGAGAACAGCAGTATAAGACAGTTTTGATACATTTTTCTTGAAATTATCAAACACAGGGGGAAAGGCGATCATGAATCTGTGTTTGATTATGCCTTTTTTTTTTACAGAAAGGCACATGAAATTGAAAAATAAAAAAAACTCAGGAATATTTCATTGACGATGGGCGAGTTCCACAACATTCGCAGCCACTAATGTACCATCGCACATCGAGTCAACAATGCAGGTCTCTCACGACCTTGTAATAAAGACCATAGTGACTGAAGAAGGGTCAGACTGTAGCGTTCCGTTATAGTCCACGACGGACCAAAACGTCATCTAGAGTTTCTCTAAACTGAGTTACGACTTGTTCCTGCTACGGTAATGTGAGTTATATTCTTCAATGCGTTGTGTAGCTGGGACTTGCACATGAGTGTTTATGTTGTGGGTTTGGGTTTGAGAAGGACCTGCTTAGCATGGGCCAATAAGCCTGCTGCAGAGCTGATCCTTTCTTATGTTCTTAGGAGTTCATTTGGCTGTACGTGTAAACCATGTCTGTGTGTGGTAAGATGGTCTTCTCAACAACATGCTAAGAGACCCAGTTACTGAAGCTTCCCAGGATAACTACAGATGGCAGCACCAACCGTCAGTGCCTGCTGTCAAAGCTCCAGTTGTCAGCAACTGTAAACGCACCAGCAGGCAATACGTATCGGTGACTAAGCTGACATTTCTTCAGCTGTTAGATCCTACCTGTATCATAGTTATCATTGGCTGTCAGCACCTACACTCTCAGTGCCTGTCAGCAACCCATACTGTTGCCTCAACTTCACATTGTTCCAGACTATGGAGCAAAACTCTCCTCCAGGCTGAGGGACTGATCACCCAAAACTAAGTCATCATGGGTGATGGACTGATTACATCGTCTTCACATCTCTACCGCTTCTAACTCTTCTGTACTCGACTGAAGAAACCTACTGTGTAGGAGTAACGTTTCGGAATATACCTAACTGTTACACATGTATCTTACTCATCAACCCAGCTATCAGTGTCACGACTGTCATCTGTTATCGTCTTATCTACTTCCACTGATAACGAAAGTCATCCATCGTATGAATACTTAATGCAAAGATAATAAACATGAATATAACGTAGATGATAAATATGATGGTGGCTAAAAACTTAAACCTGATTCGAAAACTAAATATAGCATGCAAATAAGGTCTGGCGAAACGCCTTTCCAGTGAAGGTAGGATAATGTTTCTTGTTTTTTTAACAGACAGATTATATTAAAAGTATGAAGTCTTGAAACAGGGCGGTCCAAAGATGCCAGAGAATACGTCCTTAAAAAAGAATTCGTGTGTGATTTATAATGTATATTAACCAGTGGAGAGTCGGTGGGATTAGTTATCTAAGCAGCGGATGGAAGATTGAATCCTCATTAGATATTACACCGAGTTTAGATATTACACGTGCTTAGATATTACTTCCGTGCTCATAACGCACAACTTCTGTGCTCATAACGCACAACTTAATGTGCTGGTGTATTTACGGGTATTGGTCTCTTTGAAAGGTTTACCTGGAGTTTACCTGGAGAGAGTTCCGGGGGTCAACGCCCCCGCGGCCCGGTCTGTGACCAGGCCTCCTGGTGGATCAGAGCCTGATCAACCAGGCTGTTGCTGCTGGCTGCACGCAATCCAACGTACGAGCCACAGCCCGGCTGGTCAGGAACTGACTTTAGGTGCTTGTCCAGTGCCAGGGGTCTGTTGGTAATCCCCCTTATATATGCTGGGAGGCAGTTGAACAGTCTCGGGCCCCTGACACTTATTGTATGGTCTCTTAACGTGCTAGTGACACCCCTGCTTTTCATTGGGGGGATGTTGCATCGTCTGCCAAGTCTTTTGCTTTCGTAGTGGGTGATTTTCGTGTGCAAGTTCGGTACTAGTCCCTCTAGGATTTTCCAGGTGTATATAATCATGTATCTCTCCCGCCTGCGTTCCAGGGAATACAGGTTTAGGAACCTCAAGCGCTCCCAGTAATTGAGGTATTTTATCTCCGTTATGCGCGCCGTGAAGGTTCTCTGTGCATTTTCTAGGTCAGCAATTTCACCTGCCTTGAAAGGTGCTGTTAGTGTGCAGCAATATTCCAGCCTAGATAGAACAAGTGACCTGAAGAGTGTCATCATGGGCTTGGCCTCCCTAGTTTTGAAGGTTCTCATTATCCATCCTGTCATTTTTCTAGCAGATGCGATTAGATTTAGATACTATATGTTCTAATTTACAATTTTTATTGAAGAAATTTGAATATTAGATTCCATATGATGACTCTTGAATTCCGATTCTGATTTCATTCAAATCTTTATTCAGCACTGATATTAAATGCATTTTCAACTTATGCCTCACTCTTCATGCTCCAATCGCGTACACAGAGGCACAAGGGACTGGGATTATGGCGACCGAATTGCATCCAGTTATTATTGTGTAGAAAAATCTTGCCGATACAGAAAACAACAATAAAAGCCACAACAGTAGCCAAAAGACAAAATAAAATTCATATATGATCCAAATAATAATTAACCTAAAAATATTTTCTTCACTCTGGTAACACGACGCCTAATTAGAGTTTGGTGCGTCACGTTTCATCTGATGCTAAATTGGGGGTCACAGTTACTCCGGGAGCGAGAGAACCCAAGGTGCCTTGGGTGCAAGAAATGCCCAAGGAGGAAGGGGGGGGGGGCTTAGGGCCGGATATATGGTTCGTAGAAAAGGTCATTTTTGAGTTACTCTTCCACTGAAATTTGTCATGTGTGGCAACAATTACTTGATCAATTCAAGGTCAGTTGTGTTGTTGCATTTCATGTCGACAGGTGCCGTGACTGCCTGGCAAAACTGCAAACAATTGCGACCTTTGGCTCAACACCTCGTTAGTGATTACCTTAAAAATACCAGCATACTACAGAGAATTTGCGCCTACTCCTTTATTATGGAATTAAGGACGCCAGCGTACCACAGGGAAGTGAGCCTAGTCACTTAATATGGGATATCTACTTCAACGACCAGCTGATCATTTTTGAATCCCCAGGCGAAGCAATGACTACAATCTAATCGTCACTTATACAGGAGAGATGCTTACTGCCCTGAGACACAGCAATAAACATCTTGCAACTGTGTCTACCAGGGAGCAAGTGATGACAAGATACATTTGATTCTAACTAAAAAAAATAGATGATAATGTCTGGGTAACATAACTACCGGCACTGGTATGAGAATGAGTGGAAGAGACTCAGTACTCAGTGATAAACTGGATTTATTGTGAGGAAAAGTATATATCGCGATAACAAATCGCTAGTCGTGGAAGGCATCCCCTCCTGCCATGGAATTCAACTGTCTTGCTAGTGCACTAGCCTAGCTTCTCAGTACATTCACTTAGCAGCCCTAGTCTGTCAATACACTTACCTAGTTTACCAATAGCAGGTCCCTTCTGAAAGGAATTGTACACGCAGGCGAATATGACTCCCACCATCAGGAAGTCGCTGAGGGCCAGGTTGAGGATGAAAAGATTGGAGGGCGTCCTCAAAGCTCGGCAACTGTGCATGGAAAGAGGAACAAACTTGTTACTTTCCTAAATATGAACAATAAAAGAAAACAGAGCTTCAACAGTCCTGTTGGATCAGCTATAGTTATTAAGTCATGACCGATCATCCATACCAGGGTCGTGGTCATGGTCATTAACTAGAAGGATAATGACAAAATTTCAATGATTTAGTGTACTGTATTTTGAAAAAATCCTACCTTACTCTTCCACCACAATCGAGAGAGAGAGAGAGAGAGAGAAAGAGGCGTATTAACAACACCAGTATACAGGTTTGAAATAAGTATAAATCCGACCGACCACAGACACACCACCACCACTGCCACTTCAGCAACAGCAGAAGCTGCAACAATTGCTGCTGCTACAGCTGCATACCAGGCACTGTCATCACTGTTGAAGATTGAGACACTAATGCAACATATAGGAATCTTTACTGAGGAAACGTTTCGCCACACAGTGGCTTCATCAGTCCAATACAAAGTAGAAAGGTGTAAGGAGAGGAGGAGTTTGAGATAATCAGTCCCTCAGCCTGGAGTCGGTGTGTTCCAGTCCATCAATCTTGTAGAATGTACAGCATAGGGCCGTAGACGTGGCTTATATACTGTAGTAAGGTGAGGCGAAGCAGTAGGAGGCGGGGTCATAGTGATACCATCCACTAGTCGAAGTAGGTCTTGCGATGACCCGCCAGAGTCGGGTCATCGCAAGATTGAGACCCGTGCCAGGACTACGGTCTTGGCGAACATTATACATACATACCTATGCTGTACATTCTAAAAGACTGATGGAGTGAACACATTGACTCCAGGATGAGGGACTGATTACCTCAAACTCCTCCTCTCCTTATACCTTTCTACTTAGTACTGGACTGATGAAACCACTGTGTGACGAAACGTTTCTTCAGTAAAGATTCCCATATGTTGCATTAGTGTCTCAGTCTTCAACTTGTCGGTTTTCAAAACCATTCATCATAACTGCCATCACTGTCTGGCATGACAGTGCCTGGCATCAGAGTGCCTGTCATCACTCTGCCTGGCATGACAGTTCCTGGCATGACAGTGTCTGGCATCACTAGTACTCTTGCATGTGGAATATGATCATGGCTAGACCACCACAACATCTTATTCTCTCCAACCATCCTCTTGTGATCTCCACCTCTCTCAACACCACTCAGCCCTCTCAACACTACTAAAGTCTCTCCTTGTGTGATCCTTGTACTCTCAGCGCCCTCCTCGTTTGATCCTCAGCCCTCTCAACATTATTTAGCCCTCTCAAAACCACTCAGCCCTCTCAACACTACGCAGCCCTCTCAAAACTGCTCTGCCCTCTCAACACTAATCTGCTCTCTCCAAACCACTCAGCCCTCTCAACACTACACAGCCCTCTCAAAACCACTCAGCCCTCTCAACACTACACAGCCCTCTCAAAACCACTCAGCCCTCTCAACACTACGCAGCCCTCTCAAAACTGCTCTGCCCTCTCAACACTAATCTGCTCTCTCCAAACCACTCAGCCCTCTCAACACTACACAGCCCTCTCAAAACCACTCAGCCCTCTCAACACTACACAACCCTCTCAAAACCACTTAGCCCTCTCTACACTACGCAGTCCTCTCAAAACCACTCAGCCCTCTCAACATCACTCAGCGTAAATGTCGTCTTAAAAGTCGGAAACTCAAGCTGGAGGACTGTAATCTACACACTATTGTTACCCACCCTTCGTCTCTCCATTCACTCTTGCTTCCCTCTCCCTTAATTAATTCTTCCAGCAGCGTTGACTCCTCAACTCTTTAAAACACAAGAAGAAACTGGAATAAGTAGAAAGTCGATAATGTTCCTCTTGTTACCTTCACTTTTCTTGACCTCACTGTTGTTACTGAGACAAAGTATTGATCTCTTAAGATTTACAGCTAGTCATGCAAAGATGCAAAATACATGCATATATATATATCTATCTGTCTATATATAATATATATAATATATATATATATATATATATATATATATATAATATATATAATATAATATATATATATATATTAATATATATAATATATTATAATATATATAATATATATTATATATATTATATTAAATATATATATATATATATATATATATATATATAATATATATATAATATATATAATATATATATATAATATAAATAAATTTATATAATAATTATATATTTATAACTACTATACATTATAATATAGGAAAATAAATAATAACTTTCCCATCTTACTACATCACTGCCGTTCCCAGCAGGGTGCTTTCACTAAATAAACGCACATTAAACTCTTCAACCATGCCATTCACTCCAATCACGTCCTGCCAGAGGGTGCTTTACTCTACAGTTTTATAAAAACTTGCATCCAACATTACACCCTCCTATCAGATGCAAGGCACTGTACTTCCCATCTCCAGGACTCAAGTCCGGCCTGCCGGTTTCTCTTCATCTCTTCATAAATATTACTTTGCTCACACTCCAACAGCACGTTAAGTATTAAAAACCATTTGTCTCCATTCACTCCTATCAAACACGCTCACGCATGCCTGCTGGAAGTCCAAGCCTCTCGCACATAAAACTTCCTTTACCCCCTCCCTCCAACCTTTCCTAGACCGACCCCTACCCCGCCTTCCTTCCACTACAGATTGATACACTCTTGAAGTAATTCTGTTTCGTTCCATTCTCTCTACATGTCCGAACCACCTCAACAACCCTTCCTCAGCCCTCTGGACAACAGTTTTGGCAATCCCGCACCTCCTCCCAACTTCCAAACTACGAATTCTCTGCATTATATTCACACCACACATTGCCCTCAGACATGACATCTCCACTGCCTCCATCCTTCTCCTCGCTGCAACATTCATCACCCATGCTTCACACCCATATAAGAGCGTTGGTAAAACTATACTCTCATACATTCCCCTCTTTGCCTCCAAGGACAAAGTTCTTTGTCTCCACAGACTCCTAAGTGCAACGCTCACTCTTTTCCCCTCATCAATTCTATGATTCATCTCATCTTTCATAGACCCATCCGCTGACACGTCCACTCCCAAATATCTGAATACATTCACCTCCTCCATACTCTCTCCCTCCAATCTGATATCCAATCTTTCATCACCTAATTTTTTTGTAATCCTCATAACCTTACTCTTTCCTGTATTTACTTTTAATTTTCTTCTTTTACACACTCTACCAAATTCATCCACCAACCTCTGCAACTTCTCTTCAGAATCTCCCAAGAGCACATTGTCATCAGCAAAAAGCAACAGTGACAACTCACACTTTATGTGTGATTCTTTATCTTTTAACTCCACGCCTCTTGCCAAGACCCTCGCATTTACTTCTCTTACAACCCCATCTATAAATATATTGAACAACCACGATGACATCACACATCCTTGTCTAAGGCCTACTTTTACTGGGAAATAATCTCCCTCTTTCCTACATACTCTAACTTGAGCCTCACTATCCTCGTAAAACTCTTCACTGCTTTCAGTAACCTACCTCCTATACAATACACCTGCAACATCTGCCACATTGACCCCCTATCCACCCTGTCATACGCCTTTTCCAAATTCATAAATGTCACAAAAACCTCTTTAGCCTTATCTAAATACTGTTCTCTTATATGTCTCACTGTAAACACTTGGTCTACACACCCCCTACCTTTCCTAAAGCCTCCTTGTTCATCTGCTATCCTATTCTCCGTCTTACTCTTAATTCTTTCAATAATAACTCTACCATACACTTTACCAGGTATACTCAACAGGCTGACCCCTACCCTATAATTTTTGCACTCTCTTTTGCCCCCTTTGCCTTTATACAAAGGAACTATGCATGCTCTCTGCCAATTCCTAGGTAAGGTACCTTACCCTCTTCCATACATTTATTAAATCATAGCACCAACCACTCCAAAACTATATCCCCACCTGCTTTTAACATTTCTATCTTTATCCCATCAATCCCAGCTGCCTTACCCCTTTTCATTTTATCTACTGCCTCACGAACTTCCCCCACACTCACAACTGGCTCTTCCTCACTCCTACAAAATGTTATTCCTCCTTGCCCTATACACGAAATCACAGCTTCCCTATCTTCATCAACATTTAACAATTCCTCAAAATATTTCCTCCATCTTCCCAATACCTCTAACTCTCCATTTAACAACTCTCCTCTCCTATTTTTAACTGACAAATCCATTTGTTCCCTAGGCTTCCTTAACTTGTTAATCTCACTCCAAAACTTTTTCTTATTTTCAAAAAAAAATTGTTGATAACATCTCACCCACTCTCTCATTTGCTCTCTTTTTACATTGCTTCACCACTCTCTTAACCTCTCTCTTTTTCTCCATATACTCTTTCTTCCTCACATCGCTTCTACTTTGTAAAAACTTCTCATATGCTAACCTTTTCTCCCTTACTACTCTCTTTAGATCATCATTCCACCAATCGCTCCTCTTCCCTCCCTCACCCACTTTCCCGTAACCACAAACTTCTGCTGAACACTCTAAAACTACATTTTTAAACCTACCCCATACCTCTTCGACTCCATTGCCTATGCTCTCATTAGCCCATCTATCCTCCAATAGTTGTTTATATCGTACCCTAACTGCCTCCTCTTTTAGTTTATAAACCTTCACCTCTCTCTCACCTGATGCTTCTATTCTCCTTGTATCCCATCTACCTTTTACTCTCAGTGTAGCTACAACTAGAAAGTGATCTGATATATCTGTGGCCCCTCTATAAACATGGACATCTTGAAGTCTACTCAACAGTCTTTTATCTACCAATACATAATCCAACAAACTACTGTCATTTCGCCCTACATCATATCTTGTATACTTATTTATCCTCTTTTTCTTAAAATATGTATTACCTATAACTAAACCCCTTTCTATACAAAGTTCAATCAAAGGGCTCCCATTATCATTTGCAACTGGCACCCCAAACTTACCTACCACACCCTCTCTAAAAGTTTCTCCTACTT